TAAGCATCCAAACAATGACGGGGACAAGTAAGGATCATGTGCCTCGCAACTTTTGAAAAATTACACTTTTGTTTCTATTAAAAAAAAAAATTCAATTTAATCTATTAAAATATGATATTAAAATTTCAAATTACTATTTTCTTTACCTTTTCTTTTCAAAAAAACTTGTTTAATATATTATTATAGGGTTGTTTAGAAAGTGTTAGATTAGTATATTTTTTGACTTTTTACAAAAAAGTGAAACATGAGTTAAATTTGAAGTGATGTGCTAGAGAGGTAATATGACACAAATAAATGATTGTGACTCACATATATGCTATTTTAGCACATGCCAAAAAGAGCCAAACCAATTTTTTATATTAGAAAAATATTATATGCCACTGAATTTTTTGTTATATCACCTATTATATAAATACTCATAATTAGTTCTTTTATTTAGAGATATTTATTACACAATTAACAATAACTGATAATATACTATTATGTAATTCAATGATTCAAAACTGTAAAAATAAATAAATAAATAATAAGAATAATAAAATAAGTGATATATAGCGGTATCTTTGTATTATTTATTTACCTTCTCTCTCATTTCTTTTTTTTTTTTAATTATTATTGCTATCTACATCTCTTTTGTGTATGTAATCTAATATAATTTTGTTTTCATATTTTATAAGGCTTATGATTATTTTTCAAACCATGTGATTATCATACATAAAGTCAAATTAAAAACAAAAAAAATGATTAAGATCGGTTAACTCGAGCTTATATATTTAAATAGAGCATTTGCATCACAATGCTTTTTATTCCTACCATAAAAAAAAAAAAAATTATGTTAAGTCTGATTGTGATTTTTGTTAAGATTTCAACTCAATGATGCCCCTCTAAACCAAAATTCTGACTCCGCCACTGTATTAAAATTAGTGATTTTGTTAGGAAGAAAAAAAAATTGTTTATAATTTTTACTAGAAGTTTTTGTTTTTAATGTAATTTGATTTAGCATGTTTCTTTTTTTTCTTTCTAGTGTCTAACTTAAAATTTTTAATTCTTGTAAATCAGTGTCATAAGTCTTGTTAATTGTTTAGTTCTGGTTATAGAAAGTTGTTTCCAAATATTATTAGGGCTATTTTTATTATAAATAATGATGGTAAATTTTATAGCTCCTCAGTTGGTGATTAATACCAGATTTCTTTAAGAATTTTCTCTAATGTTGCTCATATGTTTTGGACATTATTAGGATTCAACAAAATAATAATGATCTTGTTGTTGCAAGTTTGCGCACTCCTCCACTAATTGATTACTTCCCTATGACAATTATATACAAAGTACTATTATTTAAAGCCAAAAAATTATATTTACTTTTTTAAATTAATGATATGCCAATCTATTAGAATATATAAGAAAATTCTGTCTCTTTATCTTCTCTAATAATTAAACAATTACACATCATTGAGTTAAAAAGTAGCTTGTATGGCATTTTCCTTATATATAACTTTCCTTGAGTAGTGTATTCAATTTTGTAAGAAATGCAATTGTGGGAAATCAAACCTTTTTTTTTTTTTTTTTTTTGGCTTTAAATATTGTTTAATGGTAGTGTATTCAATTTTGTAAGAAATGCAAATATGGGAAATCATTTTTTTTTTTTTGGCTTTAAACCTTGTTTAATGGATTGAATTATGTGACTCTATTTTTGTATGGGCCTGTATTACAATATGGCCCAAAAATATCAGGCTTGATTACTTCATCCATTTTGTTAATTCTCACTCAAAGGGCAGTCCAGTGGACCCAAAAGACATGCACCTGTTTGGGATGATCCTATTTGCACTCAAAAAAATTATTTAGCACGTCCAATTTCTTAGTACACCTTATTAAATTATTTAAAATTATAATTTATTTTTAATGTACCTTATATTTTAAAAAAAAAAATTATCCTTCAAAATAAAATTATAATTTATGATACATCTAAATAATAAGCAACTATGAATCCCATCATGCAAATCATGAATCTGCATCACCACAATCCATGTCAATCAGTGCATAAGCAGGTTAAATGGAAAAGTAGGAAGAGAACGAGAATGGGGGAAGCAGTGGGGAGGGAAATAGTAATATTATGTGCATCTTCTGTGACCATAACATTATGTTATATTTGGTTAAGAAATTTGAAAATGAATTTGAAAAATAAAAGAGAAAAAATGTGTGAAATTATGTGAAATATAAATATATTTTGTTCATATTTTACCTAAATTTTCTATTTCTCTTTTTAAATTTCTTCACAAATCTCCCAACCAAACACAATAGTAACGTAGAGTAGAGAAACTAGAATAAGATGGATTGATTCATCCCCAAATTAGAGACGTGCTATCACTCACTACTAAAAAGCAGGGCTTTTGAGTCGGCAGCTTGCCGTCGCAAATAGCGGATTTGCCGACGCAAAAACTTTTTGCGACGGCGTTTCTAAATAATAAACAACTATGAATCCCATCATGCAAATCATGAATCTGCATCACCACAATCCATGTCAATCAGTGCATAAGCAGGTTAAATGGAAAAGTAGGAAGAGAACGAGAATGGGGGAAGCAGTGGGGAGGGAAATAGTAATATTATGTGCATCTTCTGTGACCATAACAGTATGTTATATTTGGTTAAGAAATTTGAAAATAGATTTGAAAAATAAAAGAGAGAAAATGTGTGAAATTATGTGAAATATAAATATATTTTGTTCATATTTTACCTAAATTTTCTATTTCTCTTTTTAAATTTCTTGACAAATCTCCCAACCAAACACAATAGGAACGTAGAGTAGAGAAACTAGAATAAGATGGATTGATTCACCCCCCCAAATTATAGACGTGCTATCACTTCATAGTATTACAGAAATTGATTGAACTAATATTGTCCTGTAAACAAAATGCAGCTAGTCCGGCCCCTCCCAAAATCCCGAATTATAAAGGCCAACACAGGGTAACGGGCCCTCTTTTTTGGCCGATATTTATTTATAAAAACCAATAATGTTGATAATAATGGTTAATTTTAGTTAGATGGATTGAAATTTTACAGTAACTAAGAAAATGAAGAAAAAATAATTGACATCATTGCTATGTCTGGTTGGGAGATTTAGAAAGGGATTTGAAAAGGAAAATAAAAAAGATAGGTGAAATGAGAATAAAATATACTTACATTTCACGTAATTTCACATACCTTTTCCCTTTTCATTTATAAATCTCTCCCTAAATCTCCCAACCAAACATAATATTAGAGAGGAAGATGAAGAAATTTGAATATGAATAATACTTGATTAGGGTGTATCATGAAAATAAAATTAATATTTATTTTAAAATTTAATATGTATTATACTTATTAGTAAATTTACATTATGATATAATAAGTATTAAAATTTCATAATTTTAATTGAACATAGTAAGATACTATTTGGGTGCAAATAAAATCACCCACCTGTTTGGTATCATTCAAATGACACTTTAGTCCTAATTTCTTTCTTTCTTACTACATTTTCAATTAATCAAAGCCCAAAAGTTAGCAGAGGAACATGCCCTTGTTTTAAAGTTGTGTTTTTCCACATACAGATGCCCTTACCTGTAGCCAGATTACCTTCTGTAATTTATAAGGCGTCTATTATAATTCTCGCTTTCAACCCTTAGGATGCTTATATTGCAAGTTTTTACTTTATAATTGAAACATTTAAGAGTATTACTACTCAAGATAAATATAAAAAAACTCAATTTTCAAACTCAGCAATGTTATTAATTAAGATATTAATATTGCATTTGGTTAAGAGATTTGATGAAAGATTTGAAAAAGAAAATATAAAAAAAATAAGTGAAATATAAATAAAATATACTTACATTTCACTTAATTTCACACACTTTTTTCATTTTTCTTTCCAAATCCCTCTCTAAATCTCCTAACCAAACACAGCGTAAAGGTATCACATTCTCTCATATCTTTTCTAATAATCAACCAATCATATTACTTAGACATTATTAAACCTATAAAATAGATTTAAAAAATAAAATTATATGTCATTGTTGAATATCTCAAGTATATTTGACGCCCACTAGCAACCTTGGGCCACCAACTTCTTACCATTATATCGTCGTGGGGTTGGAGTCATGCTATGATTCAGCCCATCATGAGAAAGTTCATATCGAATTAATGTATAAAATTATGTGCTTCATACATACCCCCCCCACCCCCAATAAAAAAAAAAAAATTATGCGCTTCATCTTTCATTTTAAAATATAAAAATAAAAAAAAAATTATTTGAAACTTTGTACTAAAATAATATGGTTCAAAATACAAGTCCTACTCATAGGACTTAGTTTTTTAAGTAATGTCAAGACCCAAGGTCTCCCACATCATTGTGGATTAAAATTCTATAATTTGTTTATTTATTTTTGTATAACACTATTCTTAAAGCAAATTGTAATGCTATAAAACAAAATTTATGTAACAATGAAATGGCTTTATATAGTCTTTCATTTCTAATCAAATCACTTATCTACAATTACAAACACATCAAATCAAATCACTTATTTATAATTACAAATACATCACTATTACATCGTTCTAGATGTATTTTTTAATCTATAAAATTTATGTTGATAAATCGCTTTACTAAACAAAAAACTCGTTGTACTGTTTTTATTTATAAAAATTACATATTTACATATTCTTGTGACATTTTTCATATAAATTTTTGGAATGAATAGAATTTTTCAAATGATATGTTGATTAAAGCACAAAACAATGGGGTGGGTTCATGCATGTGAGTTATTTTTTGGGGTAGGGGGCAGGCAGAGAGAATAATGTATGAGGAGGGAGAGAGAGAGAGAAAGAGAGGTGGACAAAGGTACCAACCCATGTGAATGGGCGGGCCCACGGCCCATTGTCTCAAAAGAGAATCCAAGGGTAAAAGGGTCATTTAAGGAATGTCCACATCCAAGCCCACACTGCATCCGCATTAAAACACAAGCAACCCATACCATAACCTTATATTTCTACAAGATGAACACCCTTTGGAAACATGCTAGGTAATAATGACATTTCAAGCTATTACAAGAAAAACTATGCAATATAAAATTGCACAAAAAAATAAAATAAAAGTGACAAAAAAAATTTGCACCTAAGCATATACTGATTTTAACTAGCCTATGCTTTGATAGCTAAGGAATCATCACAATTCAACACACTAGTTCATCTACTATTTTAAGAAAAAAAAAAGAAAAGAAGAAATCCAACAACACACAAATTACATGTAGGTGAAATATTGCTACCTCCCTACCTATAATATACAAAATAATGGGAGAGAAGACCGGGAAAAGAAGTTTGAGCACAATCTCTGTCCAGAATGTCTCTTGCACTCACCAAATCTGACATTTAATTAAACTTTAAATCTAATTTAAAGAAAAATCAGATTGTGTAGCTGTAAGTGATCGAATCGAGAAACAATCACATTTTCTAGCATAGAAGATCGTAACCAGGTTCTGAAGAGTTTTGGTTGAATCCTGTTGAGCCATCACAAGTTGACTCAGTGTTTCGCCGTTGTTGGTGTTGGTGTTGGAGGTTTGCATTGGTAGCACTTAGCAAAGAGCCCAAATGTGTTAATTTGCCTAATAAAGTTGGTCATGCTAGCCCATCCACCGAACCCGAAACCCACCACCAAGACCCAACCCACAACAAAGATGTTCAGTGCATACATGGCAGTCCAGCTTGGCATAAACCTAGGAGGCTTCTCCGCCGCATTCTGCAATTCAAAGAAACTAATTTAACCACTTTTAATATATAAAAAAATGGTTCGGTTCAAAGTCCACACCCTTTTTGACAAAGATTATGTCTGATTTTTTTTTCTTTACTGAATTTTTTTTATAAACTACAAATGCCTAAAATGTTCACTAAAACAAAAAGAAAAAAAAAAGGCCAATTTTTGTCAAAAAATCTGCTAGTTTGGCAAGAAGAAGATTGAGTTTGACAAGAGTGTCAAGTAGGTCTGATCCTTTTGGGGTTGTTACAATTGATGGAGAAAATATGGTAAATAGGTACAAGTTAAGACACAAATGAGTCAACTAAGCCAGCTCATGTTAGACATAATACTAACACTGAGACTGTACCTTTTAACTAAAATGAAAAGGACATCCCAACTATCCCGTCTCATCTAGCAAAGGACATCCCACCAATCTAGTCTCCATCTAGCAATGCTTCCAAATTCAACTCTTTAATAATGCAATAGTAGGCTTGGTTCTCTCTACCCAAATGTTTTTATTACTTGCAAACTACTCCCATCATTAAAATTAGACACGACATCATAAAAAATCAAACATAAATATAAGACATTTGAATTAACAGTTCATCCCAATACTTTCCTTTCATCAGCAGATTATCAGTACAAATTAACTCTCTACATGTGCGCAGCATAGGTATCATTATGGCTGCAAACAAGTTGAACTTTGTGGACTTGAGCTTGGCTGATTTGTTTATTGAACTAAAAAATCTAACTCAAGCTCGACTTGGCTCAAAGCTCGATAAATTTTTTTTATGGCTATCATTTACATCATTTAAATAAATAATAAACTAACCAAGCCAAGCTCGCAAACATCTCAATCCATTTATATCGCTAGGCACCATACTACCACAACGTAATACAAGACTCTCCAACATAATTGGAGATATTCGTGTCCACTTAAAACTTTAGACTGTGTTTGAATCTTAGATTCGAGGAGATTTATAGATTGAAAGGAAGAGAAACGTAACAAAAATTTACCCCTTTTGTTTTTCCTTTCTTTTCAAAAATCCTCACAGAAATTCAAGATTCAAACACAATCATAAAGACCAGCATAAGCCTTGCAAATAAAGATAATCAAAAGTACATATAAAGGGCATTGTTGTAAACTGAAGTAGATGGCACAAAAAGCCTCATAGATTATTCCCATATAAGTGGTCCAGGAGCATGCTAGAATATATGGCAGTAGGAATAATTGGGAAGAGAGAGAGAGAGAGAGAGAGAGGAGAGAGATACCTGGCGAGCAGAGGCCTTTCTGAAAGTGAGCATATGAGCGAGAGCAGGGATGATGTAGACGGTAAAGCTAACCAAGAGAGCCCCAACTGCAGAGTTAATGGGACCAAAGAATGGGAATATAATGGCCAAGAACCATATTGGTATCACCACTGGTAGCCTTACTAGTGCCCTTAGGCATATGCTTCTTGTGTCATGCATTCCTATTACCTTCTCCCACACGAAGTACAGTGGTGTACATGCGAACCCAAATGTTATGAACTGCCCACCACCACCACCACCAAAAACAAAAAAACAAAAACAATCTAGTTAGGGTTTCAGTTCCACAAAAACACTTTTTTATGAGAACAGTTATCATCTTGTTTGGTACAGTTTTTCAGACTGACAAGGTATATAATAATAACACATATGCATGAACTAAAGCTTCTGTTTGGTGTAGTATTTTGTAAATTAAAATTTAATAATAAGAAAACTGTAAGTTAAAATTATGAGAAAATTATACCCCCATGGCCCCACTAGCAATTTGTCTCGTTTCAATTTGGTCCATGTATTTTCATTTGTATCATACTGTGTCAATTTAGGTTGAGTAATAACATCAGTTAAAAATTGGGTAGAAAGTAGGATCAAAATAGCCTATTCAAAAAATATTGGACAATCTTAAATTGAATGTCAATTCTGTTCTTAATTTTAATGCAATTTCTAAGATATGTTATCGATAGTACTAAATTAACAAAATGTGAAAATTTCAAGTGCAAAATCGAAACAATTAAAACTACAAAGATCCAAATCACATAAGAAGCAAAATATACAGGGATTATGGGTGAAATTTGTCCTCAAATTATTCCTTCCCCAACTTCTCAATAGTCATTTCTACAATTATTTAAATTACTTTGCGTCATAAAACGTAACCAAAAGTTATACCAAACATTATAACATAAATTTCAAAATTAAAAATAATAAATAATAAATTTCAATTAACTACCCCGACAAGGTCTTTTTCACAATTTCTTAGTAATAAATTTTTTATTTTAAACTTATTCGGGTAATTTAGTTGCAATAAGCAGAAAAACTCTTAACTGTGTTTGGTTTAAGGATTTTAGGACGGGTTTGGAAATGAAAAGAAAAAAATAAGTGAAATGTGAATGAAATATAACTATATTTATCTTCTTTTTTTTTTCTTTTTTTAAATCTCTATCCAAATCTATGAACTAAACACAAAACCTATAAGTACCCCCATAAATTTCAAAAACTATTAGCTAGCCAAAAAAAAAAAAAAAACCATCTTTAAAAAAAATAATAATGGTAGTAGTATACCTGGTGAATGAGCATAAGAATAACGGCAGTGTCACGCCAACGGGTCTTGGGGAGAAGAGACAAAGCATTGGAATGGTTTAATAGTTGGTCACCAAATGCCCAGTAGACGGCAGAAGCTGACGGCAGCGTTAGTGTGAAAACGTAGAGTGTCGCTATTAAGTATATGTACTTGAATTTTTGAGGTTTCCACATAGCGTGCATAATTTCCCTGCAATATTTGGAGAAAAAAAATAGTACAATCGGTAATTTATCGTTTTTGTTGGGCCCTTAAGCATTGTGAGATGATTTTTTTTCAATTTTTTATGCTAATTTTATATGAAAGAAATTTCTCGCTCAATCCAATCTAACGTGGTGCTTTGAATCATTTATTTTTTATTTTTTTAGTGTCAAAAATTTTATTACACAAATTTATATATACAATCTAAAAGTGAAAACATTTATTTAGTAACAAATAATTTTTTTTCCAAAAATAAAATGAGTCTAATGATGGCACTGCCTCCAATAGAATAAGAGATAAATTACAATTCAGTGTAAATTTTTAAAAATAATTTTAATTTAATGATAAAATTTATAAATATTAATAACTTGGTAAAATTTTAAATTTTTTATTAATTTATAATTATTTTATGACAGAATTATAATTTTCTCATCAGAGCTGCAGGAAAGCTCTAATTAGAGCACCAGCCGTACAGCTCTAATGAGTTGTCATGAATTAAAAAAAAAAAAAGTGTAGTAGAAGACAAAAAAAAGGAAGAAAATGACAAATTAGAGCTCTTTTAGAGCTTCTTTTTTAGAGGTATGAATCATTTTTCTTTTCTCATAAAATAACTCAGCCGAATTGTGATGGCTCCTTTTTGACAACTGGGTGAAAAACTGTGGGTAATGATTTGAATGATCAAAGAAAGACACTTTCAAACGTCTGTCCTTTGGATTCTAATTTTGACGATTAATAGTAGTACAAGAAATCCAGGGAAATTACCAAAATAGACACTGCTTGACAAACAAATGAGATATTGAGAATGAAGTCCACAATGGAGAATCGGAAATGATATTCGTACGCATATAAATTTCGGTCTTTTTATTTTCTGTTTTTTTTTTTAATTTTTTTAGTATCCACCACACAGGAATCAAGTCTATAATGTCTAAAGGAATTTTAAAATAATTCTTTATTTAGAAATAAAATTAAGTATTTTTATAATAATGTTTGGTATTTTTTAACTATAAAATATGTGATATTATCACAAAAATATTTAACATTTAAATGGTATATATTTAGATAAGGTGTGTGAAGTGTATACCGAAATGAGTCATATATATATATATATATATATATACATACTATACATATTTAAATAAATTATTTAAAAAGTGCTAAATAAAATGTGTAATAATAATTCCCCGATTCAAAAAGTATATATGGGCCACTCACTAACTACTTCAAACTTATCACAAATTATAGTGTTAGACACTTTTTTAGATGCGCGGATAAGATCGAACTCCTCGATAAACCGCCGAGTATAGATTTTTGGCTAGGAATTAACACGAACAGAGAACTAGTGGGACAACTAAAATCTAAAACCAGACCCATTTCCTTTCACTATTGTTTTTCTGCTACGGGAAAGGAGGGGGTGGAGAGTAAACTGTTGTTTGCCAGGCAAACAAACAAAAGCAGTTTCCATTATTCTGTCTGTGGTCTCAAACCCGAGGTGGCCGGCAAAAGCTGCACAGAAGCCGTGTAGAAAGAAGACCAAAAAATAATAATGTATGTGTTTGAGAAGAAGTTATTTTAGTAGATTATTTTAATTTTTGATTATTTTTAAATGTTAAAATTTTTGTGTTTGAAAAGATAGTTGAATTTTTTTTGTAATTAGATGTAATGTTTGTGAGATAAAAAATAAAATAATTATGAATTTGATGTGACATTTTATCTTATTAACTATTTTAACTTATTTTGTCTTTTAAGACTATTTTAGCTAAAAAAAAGTCAAAAAAATTGCTTTCCAAACACCCCCTATGATATATAAACTTATTTGTACATATGAATTTTCTAAGTCTGCCTAATTGTACTTAGGCAGTGTTTGATTGGTGAATTTAGAAAAAAAATTTAAAAAATAAAACAAAATATAATTTCACACATCTTTTTCCATTCATTTTTTAAATCTATTTTTAAATTTTTCAACTAAACACAGTATTAATGTTAAGAATGTGAATTCAAATTTCTATTTATATGTAAATCGGTAACTTAGCGCTACAACACTGAATGATTTCACCATGTAACAACCACCTAAGAATGACTACTCGACCTTCGCCTCCTTATACAGTCTAAGCCCATAAAGGAGCCTCGCCTCCTTTATTTGTATATATTTGATATTACAAGATAATTCAAAAATATAAATAAATAATAAATTAATTAATGATAAATTATAAGTATATTATTCAAAGTTTATTTAAAATACAAATTATCTCATTTAGTTGTGAATATTATATCTCATCCTAAAAAATTTTTAATTACATAACAAATGATCCATTTTATTAATAAATCATAAAGTAAATTAACTTTTTTTTAATGGTATCAGGAAAAAAAATTTAATTATTAATTTTGATAATTTTATTATTGCGTAGGAGAATAATTAAGGTTTTAAAATTTTTTGTTAGTTTTATTAAATAAAAATTATGATAAAGAGATAATTGTAATTTTTGAAATTACAAGAGCATTTGAGTGTGTTTGGTAACGTTTACGTTTTCTGTTTATATTTACAAAAATTTTATAAACTGGTTTTTGTTTATTTTTTGTTTATTTTTAGAAAAACATAAACTACAAACGCGTTTAGTAATTGACAAAATGTTTAAAAAAATTTAAAAATATTAAAAATAGTGAGAAATGGCAAGTGGTGACAAGTGGCGACGGAAGACGGTGGTGGAAAGTGGTGACGGTGGGTGGTGGGTAGATGGTGGTGGTGGGTGGTGGCGGGTGGATGGGTGACGGTGGCGGGATGGTGGGTGGTAGCGAATGGGTGGTGGTGGTGCTGGTGGCAAGCGGTGGTGGCAAGCGGATGGCGGGTGGTGGTGGAGGATAGGTGGCGGGTGGTGGTGGTGAGTAGGTGGGTGACGGTGGTGGGTGGTAGCAACAAGTAGGTGGCGAATGGCGGGCGGTGGTGGGTGGGTGGTAATGGTGGGTGGATGGGTGACGGTGGCAGATAGTGGGTGGTGGTGGTGGTGGCGGTGGCAGGTGGGGGTGGCAGGGGGGGGGGTGGCGGGTAGGTGACAGGTGGTGGTAGTGGGTGACGGTGGCGGGTGGTGGGTGGTGGTGGTGGCGGGTGGTGGATGGTGGTGGCAGCCCACTGCCACATCATTAGTGATAGCACTAATTAGTGCTCTCACTCATTTTCCAAAAGAATATGGGTTGGATGGAATAAGGCTCTTAGAAAAATGATTTATCAAAAAAGCTCTCTTTTTTTTTTCTTTATGCTTTCTAATTTTTTTTTCAAATCTTCTAACCATTGTAACCAAACACAGCCTTAAAATAGCCAAGGTTACGGCAGCGTTTGGTAACGTTTATGTTTTTCTGTTTATATTTATAAAAATTTTATAAACTGGTATAAATTAGTTTTTGTTTATTTTTAGAAAAACATAAACTACAAACGCGTTTGGTAATTGACAAAATATTTAAAAAATTTTAAAAATATAAAAAAAAAATGAGAAATGACAAGTGGTGGCAAGTAGTGGCGGAAGACGGTGATGGAAAGTGGTGACGGTGGGTGGTGGGTAGCGGATGGTGATGGTGGCGGATGGGGGTGGTAGGGGGTGGGTGGTGGTGGTGGTGGTGGCGGGTGGTGGTGGCAGGTAGGTGGCAAGTGGCAGGTGGTGGTAAGTGGTGGCAGGTGGGTGGTGGTAGCGGAAGACGGTGGTAGAAAATGGTAGCGGGTGGTGGCTAGTGTTGGGTGGTTAAAAAAAAAAAATCAAAACTCAAAATGGAAACACATTTTTTATATTTTCATATTTTGACCAAATTTATAAACTGAGATCACTAATTTATAAATCAAAAATTTTATCAAATAAATTTTATTTGAATTTTTTAAATTTCTATAAATATAAACAAAAAATTAAAAACGTAAATGTTATTAAACGACACTTTTGTAACTTATACATAAATTAAATAAGAAAAATGCTTGGGAGCACTAATTAGTGCTCCCACTAATTAGGTGACAGTGGGTCCCGCTATTAATGATGTGATGTTTTGATTTTGGAGTTGTATTTATTTTATTTTTTTTACTTTTTTAATGCATTAGTGCTATTAGTGGTGATGTTTTTAATGGGATGAATCATTGTTGATTAAATAAACTTACACAGTGACAGCGTGTCCACCGAAGGTGTATAGAATATTGGTGGCTCCGGTGAAATACAGCACTAGCTTTTTGGGAGCCGAGTATTCCACTCCTTCAACCTGCGAAACAATTCCCACCCACCCCACACATTCTTTTATTATTGCTGTCGAGATTACATATATTATTGGCTTCAATTTGGAGAAACCCACTACAAAATAAAACATTCGATTTCAAAAATCTCAAAACATTGAAATTTTATAGATGAGTAATTTTTATATGTAGATAGAGTATATGCTATAAGATATATTTTTATTATTGTAATTAGTTTTAATAATGGAGTTCATTATGGGGTTGTTTGAAATATTTTAAGTAAGTGTACTTTTTAACTTTTTATGAAATATAGATTGAATTTGAAGTGATATGATAGAAAAGTGATGTGACTTAAATAAGATAATATGACTTAAATAAAATAATAACTTTTTGACTTTTTTAATATATATCAAACAAAGCCTAAATCTATATTTGAGTGTTTAAAAAATAATAAAAAACACAAACATTTGTGATTGATGAAAAATAAAACCACATATCCTATTGGCATACAAAATTAAAAACCATGCATACATTCACACACCCATAACAAAGAATTTAATGATAGAAAATTTAATGGTCTTGTTGTTTAATACAATTTATTGAGTTGACTTTTCCTTATAAAGTTCAAGTCGACATGTAATGATTATTAGTTAAACTTTAAAGGTTATGAAGTAAAAATAATTTAAATAAATTTTAAAAAAAAATCTAATTATATGTAAGTTAAGAAGAAAATTATGTTTAGTTTCCAGTTTTTTTAATTTTAAATTTAAAAAAATATGTGCGGTAAATATGACTTATCATTATATATAAAGAAAATAACAACCACAGTAAACATATATACATGAATTAAAGGAATAGTTTATATATTTTAATAATTAAAATATAATACTTTTTTTATAATTTTATATAGTATATTTTATTATGACTTCTAAAATTTTTAATTTCATAATAAATTGATCTTTTTATTAATAAATTATCAAATTAATTAATAATTTTTAATTATGTTAAAATTTTATTTTAATTAATAATTCGGATAATTTTATTATTACATAGATAAATAGTTAAAAATTTTACTTTTTTCAATTATTTATGTTAAATAAAAAATTATGACAAAACAATAATTGTAATTTTTTAAATTACAAAAGACAATTCGTATTTTAAATAAAAATTCAAAAGTATATTATAATTTACTTTGAAATAAATTTCCAAATATCTCTCAAAAATGCTAGTGGCCTCAAAAATTCTATCAAAAATTTTACCAAATATCTCACATGGTGTGGAACCCACGTGGGACTCATATACCCGTATGAAATATTTAGTAAAACTTTTAATAGAATATTTGAGGTATGTAACATTACTCTTATTTTCCATGCGTGGAAATTTATTACCTGGCCATGTGTGAAGGCGGCTATGGTCAAGTACCAGGCAGTGTAAGTGGTCATCCCAAGGCCAAGAAAAGACCAAATTCGGTAGTTATGAAAGGAGGGTATGAACACAGTGGTTGCACAGCAAGCTCCAAATATGTATGTCCATGTCCTCTTGTCCAATTTATCATTGACATAATATATATTACTGTACTCACCATGAACACATCCGAAAACTACATCAAACTCAATTCAAGTTTGAAGAAAAAAGGAAAATAAAATCAAGAACTTACCTTGCACAAGCAATAAGCTGTATGACAGATCCAAATAGAAGAAAAGTACAGTTGAAAGCTAGACCCACTGCTTTCCAGTAAGGACCCAGTAGCCCATCAAGCACTTCAAACCACTGCAACTCACAACAAAACAGTTTCAGCGTCGTCGTCGTCGTCGTGGTGGAGGTGGTGGAGAGAGGCCATAAAAATAAATAAATAAAAATAAAAATAAACCTGTATGACATGGTTCTTGAAGCTGTAATTCTCTTTCTCCTTTCTGGATCTGTACTCAATGTACAGAACACTGATGAGGTAAGCTGTCCAACTACCCATGAGACCATAGAAAATCTGGAATATTATGCCAGATAACATACCCAGTTGAGAGAATGAGTAGGGCAAGGTTAACAGAACTTGTGCTACCTGTGATGAAGAACATGATAATTATCAGATCAATCTAGAAATGAAATTCCTGAAATAGGTATATATTCATCTAAATGAATATATGTTTGTGGTTTTTTTTTAATATACTTGATTGGAAGCACAACTGAACCAAGCATCCCAAGCAGAGCCTCCATGCCAGAGGATGCTCTTGACACTGAAAATGGAGTGATCTTCTTGCTTCTCTTCTTCCTTATTGCCTTCATGTTCGGCCTCGTTGACTATGGCCTCCTCTCCTTGTTTTTGAGCCAACATTGTCTTCTATTTCCTCTAAATTATCTGTCTAATTTCAGGCAGAACACATAAAAGACGCTAAATGAGACAAAAAAAAACAAAAAACAAAAAACAAAAAAAATGTAAAAACTTCTCTTCCCCAGAAAACGAAAGCCCAAGAGTACCCCAGATCCAAAAACCCAAAAAGATACAAAAATCAAAGAAAACAAAAACAAAGAACATTACCACTTTCTCATACCTAGTCCGAGTCGTCTCTTTCTGGAACCCAATTCTCTGAAAGCAAATCCTTGATTGTTCTTGCCTTTCTTTTTTTTTTCTTTGTTTTTGGAAGCAAAAAACAAGAGTGCGTATTGATTTGTGAGGTTACAATTGAAGCAGAGAGTCAGAATTCTTAATTCAAAGATTTTGGCAGAGAGAGAGAGAGAGAGAGGCAAAGAGAGAGAGAGAGTTAAATGGTAGCCAGAAATAATTGAAAGAGGTCCAGCTAGACAATCTGTCGAACAACCACTAAGCGACTTAAATGCGGCTTCAAAACCCAGATTTTGCTGCAGAGAAAAAGGCCGTGCCGAAACCCCCAAAGGCGGCGAGAGAGACCTCAAAAGCAGAGAAAACCCAGAACTGGTTTTCTACAGAGAGTATAGCAAAGCAAAGAAAGCACCACTTTTTGATCCCATTCAAGTACACACGCAGTATATATATATATTATAATATTTTGCTTTTTTGGGTTTGAGATTCCTCACGCTCTCTCTCTCTAAATAAGAGGGAACTCCAGTCCCAGTGTGTATTCCACTTCTGATTCGATTCTTTGGTGTTTGTTTGAGAGGGAAAGAATCGAGTGGTTTATGCGACAAAGACTTGGTTTAGATGGTGAGGACTGAGGACTCGATAGATGGTCCCTTTTTCATCTAATTAATGCACGTAACGGCTCAAAATCCTGGCTCAAAATATAATCAAAAATGATTTAGACCTCTAAAAGAAGAGCTCTAATGGAGCATTAATTTGTCTTCTTCTTCCTTTTTTTTTGTCTTTTACTTCACTATTTTTTTTTTTTTTTATTGGCTGACAGCTCATTAGAGCTGCCCTTTTGCAGCTCTAATTAAAGCTCCGGAACATGACCCAAATATAATTAACGTTACGAAAAACACATGTATAACACTTCTTTGATCAGGTTTATATCAGACTTTTTGGCCGGGGGAGTTAAAAATTTTAGGCCTTGTTTGGTTTGTGATTCTTAAAAAATTTTGAAAAAAAATTTTTATAAATAAATTTTCAAAAGCAATCAAACCAAATAAATTTTTTCAAAACTTGTTTGGTTTACAAATTTTCTAAACAAATCTCTCTCTCATACACATCAAATCAATCACTTTTTCTAAAATTTTCTCTCAAAATAATTTTTCAAAACATCTTTTAAAAAAAACCAAATCAAACAAATTTTTGATACTTTTTATCTCAAAATATGCTTCTCAAATACAAACCAAACAAGGCCTTGGTTTTTTATTTTTAATTTTTTTGAGCCATATCATCTCTCTATTTTTTTTATATATTTTTTTAAGAAAAATTAACGAATTACCTACTTCTTAAAATTATATGCACTTAGTCAACGTTTATAGTTTCACTTTTGCATGCAGATTACCTCCGGTCTATTGGACTAGATATCGCAGTTTGGGTTTATAAATTTCATCACTATTTTTTTTTATAATTATTTAAATTATTTATTATGTTAGCCATTTTATATATTTTATTTATACATAAATTAGATTGATTTAATAATCATAATATATTTAATTTATCATACTTATTACCAAAAACAAATGAATGTTTATTTTTAAAAATATAATTATCATCTACTTTTTTTAAATGACAAATGAGAAAAATTGAATACGATTATTAAATCAATTTATTTTTATTTTTTTTTTTGTAGATGAAATATATGAATGGTTCAACAAAATGAAGAGCTCGAATAATCGAAATAAAACCCATGATGAATCTCACGAGACAAAATAACACCCTTCAATTCAGATCATGGACTAGAGAAAATCCTCCTTATTTTTTAGGACACTCAAGTCATAAGTTCATTTTTTAATCTTTTAGGTTATTACGTTTAAGTTCTGATCTTTTTGGGCTAAAATGATACAATATGTCCAAAATGATAATTATTTGTTAAAATCAATCTATTCGTCTATCTCTTGAAATCACCTAAATTGTCTATCTATTGAATTTACCAAGCCTATTGTCTTATCATTCATCAAATTACATGTCTGTTGAAATGTGATGTGACACATGTCATTCATTCAACACCATACCTATTGAATATTATATATTTCTGTACCTTATCACCACCACTTATTGCCATCTGCCTTCGGTCACCACCGTTGGTGACTTTTTCCGACTGTGGCAAATTTTTTTAGCGCTGACAACTTTTCTAACATATTTTTATCATCAAATAAGAGTACACTTTTAATTTAATACATTATACACTCTTTTATAAATGAACCTAATGAGACAGACTAGATAGTCCAGTCCTATAATAAACTGAAGACAGTCGAATTCCTTTTTTATTGACTATCTATCCAAAAAATCAATAGGAAGAAAATTCTGGTAAAAGAATGAAAAAGCAATTTCGGAAAGTGAAGCTAAAGTTCGGCGTATAGTGGCGCCGGAATTTTATGTTTAGTAGCAGACGTGGCTCGAAGCCGAGTCATTGTTATGAAGCCGCCGAGCCATTGCTGAAAGAGGGCTTTAATATGGAAAGAAAAATGTTATTCTTAAATAAAATTTATACAAAAAAAAAATATTATAATGTACCAGTGACATTTATAGATATTTTATTTTTAAATGAAAAGTTATCGTACATAATTTTTTATTTATATATCATTACTCAAAGTAAAAAACAAAAAAGAAAATTTCAATGCAAGATTAGGGGTATGTTTAGTTTGGCTTTGTAGAGTGATTTTGGAAAAAAATTTTAAAAAAACTTATTTGATTTGTAATTTTTTCAAAATAATTTTCAAAATCACTTTCTCTCTCTTACACATCAATCAATCACTTTTTCTCCCTCCTTTCTCTTCTTAATCACTTTTTCTCTCACATACATCTATTCAATTACAACTGTGTGAGTGATTTTCTGACCACACTGCCTGCTTAGTAACTAGCTGGAGAACACCGGCAGAATAGATGGCTTCAGCTAACCTGCAACAGAAAGAAAAGGCTCCGGTGGTGGCTCTTCCACCTGGGAGCACTCCGACGATCAAGTCAGTATATCTCTCAAAGATAATCAAGTGCTAAACTCACTACTCAAAGCATAAAATTGCGTACCTTAGGCCCACGGGGGTGCCTCTCTTTTATAGCCAACATAAACCTAGTCCCACAAGAAGCCTGACTTCTATGGACTCCCATTTAATGCTTACTTTGGATTTCACAAGAGATAACGATAAACTCGCTAAGAGTTTTATCCTTGTCTTAGCAAAGTTCCCTCTTTACTCTAGGACTCTTGTCCCTTATCTTTTATCCTCTTATCTCGGATTCCGATATCTTCAGAGATAACCTCGGCTTTGCCGAGATAACCTCAGCGTCACAACCAAGACACATGGCACCTCGGCTTACACGTCGGCGTCACCTTGCCACGTGTTGGTATTCAAAAAATACATCCCCACAACTGCCCCCTAGGTTCTATTACCTCGACATTCTGAGGTGATGGAACCTATATTTGTATTTTCTTCCAGTAAATCAGCTTAAAATTTGACAACCGAGATCATTAATTTCAGGCCGACATGCTTTCCCTAAAAAATCAAGATTTTTAAGGACCTTCTCACGCGCATGAGCTGTCATGCATTTCAACCCAACCGTTTTAGCCACGCGTTTCCCTCTTACTGGTCCGTACACGTGACACGCCTGTTAGCCGCCTCTTTCTTCATGTGCGCCGTTTGACGCCCTCGTTCTTCTAGGCGTATTGATTTGCCTTTGCCGCCGTTTCTGTTTAATAAAAAACTTTTTCCCTTTTTTCCGTCTCTTCACTTTTTCATTCGAATCTCCTGCTATCTCTCTCTAGCTTTCGAAACCCTCCATTGCTCAAGCTTTCAAAGCTGTGCAACCTTCTCCGTTCACCCCTTCCGGCGAGATTTCCATCGATTTTCTGCTTCTGCAACCGTCGTAGGACATCGGCAAATTCCTTTCCAGCTTCCCTTTTCTGGTAAGCTACTGTTCTTTTCATTTTCAATTCCCTGATGTTTTTTTTTTTTTTTTTTTTTTTTTTTTTTTTTTTTTTGCTGTCGCCATTACTGTACTGTTTCGAGCTTTTTTAATTCATAAATCGTACATCTGAATGCATTCATCCATGATTTTGCCTTTGCCCACATTTTGAACACACGCACTATTTCACCACTTCTTTGCACTTTTGCCACTGTTCTTGGCCATATACTCTTATATTTTTCATGTTCTTGATAGCCCATCTCAATTCTTGTTTCTGAAACTTCGTTTTTGTTTTCTGTTTTTTTGCATCTTTTCCAGATTCTTGCTTTCAATTTGTGTTTCCATAGATTTAGGTCTGGGATTTGTCTGTAGAACCCATAACTTAGGAAAAAACTGAAACCTGCACCTACCTTTTTGTCTGTCGAGGTCCCAATAGCCTTTCAAAAACATTTTTTGAGACCCACCTTCTAAGATTAAGTCAATATCATGGGTATGTGGGAACATAGGATAAACACCCCCTCCAAACTAGAATACTTTAGACAGGAGTTTGAGATCCCAGCCGACGTCCATTTGAGGTTGACTGGGGATGATAACTCCATCATGCCCACTGCCAACTCCATGCCTTTCCCTATAGTCGCCTCTATCGAGTGTGGACTTCGGCTTCCACTAAACATTCTGTTTCGTGAGGTCCTTCATTACTATAAGTTGAACCCTATGCAACTGGCCATCAATTCTTACCGAGTGATCAATGGTATTATAGCCCTAGCTAAACAGGAAAACGCTAGGATCACCATTGCTAACATCCACTATTGTTATGCCATGTGTGGCCTTAACTTGAAAGAAAAAAGCTACACTTATTACCTTAAGCCGAGGTCCACAGCATTCAAAATTGTAGCCGACCTCCCAGACTCCAACAAGGGAGCTGGTGACGATTATTTTATTACCTAAGGGAACTGGGAGTTCGCCCCAGATGAAGACCTTCATCTCTTCCCTCTCCCACGATCAGTCTTTATAGAGGGTAACGGTAAGAGCCCTGCATTCATACTTGTTTTACTTTTAAAGTCTTGTATACTTTATCTGTTTTCTAATGTCTTCTTTGTCTTTGCTTTTACAGTTCTTCCTCAGCCGCCAAAAAACTTTCGCCAATCATTTGTTCCCAGCAAGGATTTAAAGAAATTACTGGACCTGCCAGTTCAAAAGCGAAAGGCACCCCTGCTTCTCAACTTCATCCCAACATACAAATCAGCTCTCCCTAACGTCCCCAGGAAAAAGAAGAAGAAGAGCTTATCTCCTCCCTCTGCTACAACTCTTCCAGCTGTATCATCATCGCGAACAGACCAAGGATCAACCTCTGATCCAGCAGAACAGCCGTCGACCTCAGTTCCATACCTCATTCCGCCATCCCAAAGAAAACGTCGTCGACATCTTGTTCTTACAGCCGAGATGGGTCGCGCAAAGCCAGTTGCTAAAGACCTCCTAGCCAACATTCCATCATCCATTGACGAACAACCAACACAAACCCAACCTCCAGAAAAACCAAAAAGAATTAAGAAAACTCAACCGAAGGCGAAAGTGACTCAGGTTGAGACTAAGGACACTTTGCCAGCCCCAAAACTGGCTCCAAGTCAAAAAATTGCCTCTGTCCCATTAAAAAGGTCTGCTGAAGTACCTCCTTCTGAAT